TGTCAGACGGTTCGGGCCGACCGGGATTGCAACGAGAGCAGTAATAGAAAAGGAGGGGGGCTTGCCGTTCTGGTTAATAACAGATGGTGCAACCCTTGTCATATCACGGTTAAGGAGCGGATATGTTGCCCGGACATTAAACTATTAGCCGTGGGGCTTCGGCCTTATTATCTGCCCAGAGAGATTTCACATGCCATTGTAGTAGCTGTATATATTCCACCCTCAGCTAACCCGAAGTCAGTGAGCAGCGTTATTCATAATGTTACATCACAATTGCAGACCAGATATCCGAATGCTCTCATCACCATTTCGGGTGACTTCAATCACGTTACTATGGAAAAAACATTGCCAACTTTCACACAGTATGCACTCTGTCCGACCAGAGAAGAGAGTACACTTGATTTAATGTATGCAAACGTGAAGAATGCATACGGTTCGTCCCCCCCTCCCTCCACAGGGTAGGTCAGACCACAATTTGGTGTACCTCAGCCCCTGTTATATGCCTCTGTTTAAGAGCAAGCCTGTGACCACCAGAATCGTGAGGAGATGGACAGATGAGGCTTATGAGGCACTTCAGGCTTGTTTTGAGGTTACTGACTGGCAGGCTCTCTATGAGCCACACGTAGAGGATATTGATGGACTCACAGAGTGCATCACTGATTATATTAATTTCTGTGTTGACTGCACTGTACCATCAAGCACTATCCTTTGTTATACCAACAACAAGCCATGGGTAACAAAGGACATCAAGGCCATCCTAAATGCGAATAAGAGGGCATTTAGGGAGGGAGACAGAGGGGAGGTGAAGAGAGTGCAGAGGGAACTGAAAGTTAAATGTGCAGTAGGAGATCTTGGAAAATGCTAACTTTAGCCTGATAGCGCTGAAAGCGAACGTTCCACCCTCCCTGCAATCGCCGTCCAAAGCCATGTCCCCTGAACGCATTTACGCTCACAGACCAGAGACAACATTACTACAATAGGCTACATCAGCAGTTCCCAATTCCAGCCCTTGTCCCGAAGTGAAGTAAACTTCAACGGATTTCCCCCACTCAGGGAGTAGGGAGCAATGAACACTGTGTAGGGATCATATCGATCGGAACACAGTTCATGCACGTAGCTCACTTCTAACGAGTTGGCGCGAGGACTGGATTAACCGCTGGGCTACATCATGTGTCATTCACCAGTGAGAAAACATTGAAAGTACTACAATACCAGGAAGGAAGATCG